CTGACCTCAGCTGTCATTTTGGCGATTAGTCATATAATAGAATAGGCAATAAATCTAGGACAAAATTTGGCGACCGCAACAGGGTTAACATTTGGTGAAGCTAACAATCAGAAAAAAGAGACTCAGCATTTCAATTGTCAAAATTGCACTATAAATTTAAATACGAATATAACCCATCGTATTATCTAGTAAGTGTTATTGTAAAGTCAATTGTTGAGATCACACCCTCGTGTTCGAAGTTGGATGGAAGCCGCGCCTCTATCTATAGGTTCAACGACAACTTACCATAGTTTTTTTGGAAGTGTTTTAATGAAACTTTCTTTTTGTTATTTAGATTGGGCCACTGAAAAAGCAGCGCGCGTCAACTTTGACTATTGCACGTTTAATAGATTTACACAGAAGTTAGATCGCTTGATGGTAATAGCAGCGGTAGCAGGCTTATTACGACCTGCTGGAGATCAAGTCTGAAGAGTGATTTCGGAGATTAAAAATGCAAACATATTTATTGACTATCATGATGGTATCGTAAAAACCAGAAGGACAAGGATACATTTCCTTCTTTAAATTCGTGGGCGTGCGCACTTCCAGTTTGGTCAAGGGTAATATAAGTGGTGTCTCCTATGCGGTGAGGTACATATTGTTTGTCTCCCCCTGATGAGAGTTCCCAGCTCCTCCCTCTCCATTAGACATTGACGAGTAACCGTTGCCCTTCCTGTGAGGACCCTACAGAGTGTCCCCCTCCCAGGTTTATCCGTTGTTTATGACTGCTTTGTCCGTCCTTGAAAAACCCTCATATGTCATCGAATATATCTACTTTCCACCTTGTGCGATGTCTGTTATGGTTAACAAAGCTTCTGGTAGACTTTCAGTTTGTCAATACAATCCGAAGACAGTGGACGCAGATAAACAGCTGAGTGCCGACCCTAACTAGAAGAAAGCTACGCTATTCAAGAAACCTAGTGCGCTCAAGCATTACAGTATTTTCTATACTTTTGGGTTTATTTAAGGGAAGTGGGGAAACATATGTGGCTTACTGAAACTGTCACGGAATCTTCTGCAAAATTTAAGGCATTGGGAAAACTGGCCCGTCAAATAGGTATTTCAAAACAACCCTTTTAAAAGTCGATGGTTATCACGTTAGATACAAGGCGGGCTTGCATTGGCAGAGGAACGGATCCATTGTCAGTAACTTCTAAAAGGAAGTATATCACTGTATTTAGGCTTTACCGAGGGGCTGAATGGCGAAGTCTTCAGCTTCACTGTTATCAGCTAGGGAGTGGCTAGCGCTGATGGCGAGACTGTCGTGGCAACGGAATCCAAAACCGGACCCTAGCAAATATGACCTTCAGACCCAATCTGGGATAAGAAGAAGATAGAGAAGTTGTGAGAGCATTGTGCGCTGTACAGACGAAATGAAGAATAGTTTGGAGTCAGATGGCAGCTGGACAAGGGCCCATTACAGGCGTCATCAGAGCAGACGTCCAAATGCCACCGGAGCAGGCACCAGAACGGATTGAGTTAAGGCATCTTGGTGTCGGTCTTCAAGTTGCCTGGCCGGTTTGGAAAGCCGTGATTGGACAGAAACCGAACAGCCTCTATAGTTAAAGGAATAACGTGACATGGCGTTTGAAATATTCAGGTCCCAACCTGTCAGATAAATGATGTACACTGTTACCTATAAACACCAGAGGCGCAGTGTTTTTTTTAAATATTGACGTCTAAAAACCACAAACGTCGTTGTTGAGGATGAATGTAAAGCGAAAATGTCAAATTTGGGAAGAGCAAGATGGGGTCCGACCAAAATGTTAATTCAAGGTCACTGAACACTGTGTTACAGTCGGCAAACCATGCGTATTCTCATCGTTCCGCAGTTAGCTTTGAGAAAGAGCCAGCAAGCTGGGCAAAATTTTATTCAAACCACTTGTGGTAAGGTGCAAGTTTGTGTAAACTGCGCTGTTGGTTTTGGCAAATAAGGGGTTGAAGAGGTGCGAAAGTACTAGACTCAGTCGTAGGAGGCACTGTGCAGCGGGGACGATCGTAATTAGATACGAGTTTTATCTCGGACTAAAAGAGAAAAAAACACTCCGGCGTTTTAATGTTAGACCGGCATCATGAAGTACTTCCAAAATCTTTTCAGCTGAATCTACTGTTCTTCCACTGAGCGTCCGGAAAAGATAATGCTGCTGGGACAAACGAACTATTTATGAGACAAGGGTTTGCGAAGGAACTGATACACTAACACCTTGAAAGTAGTAAAAACACTCGACATGTCAGGGCGTAGGGTGTTGAATTCCAGTAAATCTTGAGATACGATATGAATAGACATTTTGTTTTCTTTAGAATCGTTAAACGTGTGCCTCAGAAAGTAGGTTATACATTATGCCGGATCGAGTGGTGCATAATCAAGGTATTTTTAATTAATATATTATTGCTGTCCTACTGGACAGGGAATATTCAGTCTACTCTTTAAAGCGGAGCCACTACGTAGCCTGAGGTTAGGTTGAAGTTCATTGAAATATATTCTCGGGAATATAGTTGACATAGCAGTTCTGTTTAAAAAAAAATGAATAACCATTCAAACGCTAAAGAAAGAATTGTCCTTTCAGTTTGGCTAACAACAGATGGCAAGACCGGCAATAAAGGAACTGAGAAAAGGCAGCGAGATAACGACTGATAATTGAAAACGCTCAGATCCCCCAAATGAAGGAATTCATGAAAAGGACAAAATCTGCCATAAAGGAAAGTAGGCTTTCCCGATCAGATGATAATTAAAGCCCATTACCGAAACTGTGCAATTTCTAGCAAACAAACTGGATAGATTTTAAAGTATATATAGTTGGCGAGACAGAACTTGATATAAGGAAATTTACAGAAACTCGATGTTCTTCAGGTGTTGTGGGATTCAAAATATTAGCAAATTTATAAGCCACTCAGACGAGAGAGTCGCGGATAAGCTTATTTACAAATTGGTAGCAGTCGGTGCAGAAAAATATCTGACACGGGAAAGAGAGCTATTAA